CTACTAAAAATATAAAAAAATTAGCCAGGCATGGTGGCATGTGCCTGTGGTCCTAGCTAGTCCGGAGGCTGAAGCAGAAGAATCGCTTGAACCCAGGAGGCGGAGGTTGCAGTGAGCTGAGATTGCACCACTGTACTCAAGCCTGGTGACAGAGCAAGACTCTGTCTCAAAAAAAAAAAAAAAAAAAAAAAAAAAATGTAGCATATTAATTTATATTTTAATTGCAAAGTTTTGAATGACTTAATTTATTTAGTCCTGTTACTTCAAGGGTTTCCTACCCTTGGGTCATGGACTGGTACTGGTCTGTTAGAGACTGGGCCACACAGCAGGAGGTGAGCAGTGGCCAAGTGAGCATTCCTGCCCGAGCTCTGCCTCCGGTCAGATCAGCAGGGGCATTAGATTCTCATAGGAGCATGTCCTCTTTTGTGAGATGCTTGATGATCTGAGATGGAGCAGTTTCATCCCAAAACACCCCCCCGCACCTCTGGTCTGTGGAAAAATTGTCTTCCACAAAGCCAGTCCCTGGTGCTGAAAATGTTGGGGACTGCTGCCTTATAGCATTTTTTTTTTTTTTTGGTTTAGTAAGTCAAAAGTGAATTTAGCACCTAAAACACTAATTGTTTAGTATAGTTAATTTAAACCACGAAGATCATCACAAAGTCAGATCTAGGTTAGTTTTTGAATGTGCTCTACAGTTAAGCTTGCCGTACTCCGGTTATTGTTCCACTGATCTTCTGTATTAGTCCATTTTCATGCTGTTGATAAAGCCCTACCCAAGACTGGGCAATTTACAAAATAAAGGAGTTTAATGGGCCGGGCGTGGTGGCTCACGCCTGTAATCCCAGCACTTTGGGAGGCTGAGGCGGGAGGATCATGAGGTGAAGAGATCAAGACCATCCTGGTCAACATGGTGAAACCCCGTCTCTACTAAAAATACAAAAATTTAGCTGGGCATGGTGGCGCGTGCCTGTAATCCCAGCTACTCGGGAGGCTGAGGCAGGAGAATTGCCTGATCCCAGGAGGCGGAGGTTGCGGTGAGCCGAGATCACGTTATTGCACTCCAGCCTGGGTAACAAGAGCGAAACTCCGTCTCAAAAAAAAGAAAAAAAGAAGTTTAATGGACTCATAATTCCATGTGACTGGGGAGGTCTTCCAGTCACCGCCGAAGGTGAAAGACATGTTTCACATGGTAGCTTACAAGAGAAGAGAACTTGTTCAGGGAAACTCCCCTTTATAAAACCATCAGATCACGTGAGACTTGTTCACTATCACAAGAACAAACAGCATGTGAAAGACGTGCCTCATGATTTAATTACCTCACACCAGGTTCCTCCCATGACATGTGTTAATTGTGGGACCTACAATGCAAGATGAGATTTGGGTAGGGGCGCAGCCAAAGCATGTCACCTTCTCTTCCCATTCTCTTCTTAAACTTTGTATGCATGAGCCAAAGAATAATTAATAAGTAGGCAGGCATAATCATGCTGATTACAGTTTATACTCCTCCCATATATATACATACATGCAGAGAAAGACCTTTTACTGTGAGAAAGTTCAGCCTGCAGATTGTATAACAAAGTCACAATTCTGATTCCTGTGATGGTTTCTCCATGGTTGGTAGGAACCAAATCCTTTGTGAAGCCATTAGTGGTGGAAATAAATATATAACAGAAACTAAAGGCCTGAGCTCTTTGCATAATGTCTTCCTTTTTTTTCTTTTCTTTTTTAGTCTTGCTTTGCTGCCCAGGCTGGAATGCAGTGGCAGTGATCCCAGCTCACTGCAACCTCTGCCCCCTAGGCTCAAGTGATTCTCTTGCCTCAGCCTCCTGAGTAGCTGGGATTACAGGCGTGCACCACTATGCCCAGCTAATTTTCATATTTTTAATAGAGACAGGGTTTCATCATGTTGGCCAGGCTGGTCTTGAACTCCTGACTTCAAGTGATCTCCCAATTTGGCCTCCCAAAGTGCTGGGATTACAGGCATGAGCCACTGTGCCTAGCCCATAATGTCTTTCTAGGAGACTACCTTTTACCTACTAGTCCAACTGCAGCCTGTCAGTTTTCTTTTACCACTTGCCTAGAACTCCTCTCTCTGAGATAAAGTATTTGTGGGGATAATACAGGAAACACCAATAAACCAGAGATTGTACTGTAGCCACCATGCTTTAGACATAGGGTGTGGTATACCCCTGCACCTTCTTCCTGTGCTTGGGCTGCTCTGACAGTACCCAAGGTTGTATTGGTTCTTTGAGGATGATCAGGGGCAGATGTTCCTAAATATTTCTGAATGTACCAGGGACATTTGAAGAAATTGAATGAATTTGTTGATTTGAGTGATATCAAATTCTTTTTCTTCCATAACTTGTCAGTATATTTTCTAATTTTTGAATGATCTTCTTTGGTCAGTTATGAAAACAAGACTTAATGTGGTAAAGCAGAAGAACAGACAGGAGAGCTCATTTTAAATTGTATAGGCTGAGTATTCCTTATCCAAAATAAGAAATTCTTATCCAAAATAATGTCCTTTTTGAGACCAGAAGTGTTTTTGGGTTTTCAATGTTTTCTAGGTTTTGGAATATTTACATTATACCAGTTCAGCATCCGAAATCCTAAAATCTGAAATCTGAAATGCTCCACTGAGCCTATCTTTTGAGTGTCATGCTGATGCTCAAAAAGTTTCAGATTTTAGACCGTTTGGATTTTCAGATTAGGGATGTTCAACCTGTGGGTCAGTGCCCTAGCTGTAGCTTCACTCACATGAGCTCTTGCAGAAAGGGGCCTAAGGGAATCTTTTTGGAGATCACTGGCCTAGCCAGTAGAAACTTTTTGCAGTTTTAAAAAGAGGGAGACATATCTGTTTCTAACTTCTCATGGACAGATGAATGGACAGATGAATGTATGAAGCTGGCAAGAGTCAAAACACAGCAAAAAAAAATTTTTTTTCATTAAATGTACTCAGGGATTGGGAACCAAGTTTTTTAAAAAATTCCTTAAACTTTTGCTCAAAAGTTTGAGCACAATTTTGCTTAAAAGAATAAAGGATTGTTTACAAGTGTTTCTATTAACTATGTTTTTATGGAGTGAACTTTTATAAATTGAGGATATATTCTTATGTTTATTCTGATCGTTAATATCTTTGTAATATTTTATTTTTGTTTTCTGAGTGGATATTATAATATTAATTGTCTAGGGATGGTTAGGTTAATTGAACCTACTGCATTAAAATGTTTTAGGAAAGATTTAATAACTTTTTCTTTCTTGTATAAGGTGAAGCTCTTTCACTAAGCATGATCTTTGTGTGACTTTTAATTAGAACATTAGACCTATCAAATTTAACATATGGTGAAACTGCTAGAGCTCACTCACTTCATTCAGGTCTCTGCTCAAATGCTGCTTCTTCTGAGCGATATTCCTTAACCACCCTACTGATAAACTGGCCACATTCTCTCTATTATTCTCTCATTTACCTCATCAGCTTTCTCATTTTCTCAATACATTTAATGGCGTTTCTCACAAGTCAACTTTTGATTGTGTTCAGTGTTCTGTCCTTGGCACCTAGAACAATTTCTGGCACCATGAAAGCGACTCCATAATGACTTGTTGAATGAGTAAATTGTTCACCATTTGTCTCCCCACTAGGAAGTAGGACTCATGACTGTGCCTGGCACGAGGTGGGCATTCCAACATTTGTTTGAAAGAATAAAAGGAATGTTTATAAGTAGTGATCAAATTCATTTTTTTATATTTATATATACGTGTGTGATCATTTAAGTTTTATATGTTTAAATTGCACATAGAAATCTCATCTAGAAATAGATTCTTAAAAAGGATGTGGTGTTCAAGTACCATCCAGAACCTACAAAATCTGCTGCTGTCTTTTTTGCTAATGTTGGATGGGCAGATTTACATGTAGGGTCACAGTTTTTTTCAGTGACTCAGTAACACCTGGTTGTTTTGATATAGAGCCCATAGATATCAGAATGCTGTATGTGACAAACTCATGAAATGGATTAGTATGTGGGTTGGTTTTTTATTTTATTTTTAAATTTTTTAGAGACAGAATATCTGTTTATCACCTAGGCTGGAGTGCTGTGGCATGATCATAGCTCACTGTAACTCCTAGGCTCAAGTGATCTTCCCACTTCAGCCTCCCAAGTAGCTAGGACTGCAGGTGCCCCCTGTATGCCTGGTTGATTTTTAAATTTTTTGTAGAGACAAGGTCTCAATATGTTACCCAGGCTGGTCTTAAACTCCTGCCGTGGCCTCCCATAGTGCTGAGATTACAGGTGTGAGTCACTGCATCTGGCCTGGATTTTTTTCCCTCTACTTGCTTCATTAATATTGTAGTGCAAATGTCCATCAGTGTATGTGCTTTATATATTGATTTCAGGTCACAAAATGGGGAGTTAAAGCTTATTTATTTTTGGAGACAGGGTCTCGCTCTGTTGCCTAGGCAGTAGGCGCAATCTCAACTCACTGCAACGTGTGCCTACTGGGCTCAAGTAATCCTCCCACCTCGGCCTCTTGAGTAAAGCTTTATATTTTTATGAGAACATTTTATAAACTCTTATTCACACTTAATTTTGTTTTTCTTCCACCTCATCTTGTGTTCTTGTGGTTTCCTTTGGGAACACTGTGGCATACTTTGTTGAGTTCTTTTTATCATTCCCTGACTTACTAATTGTTCCTGTATGGTGAACCTTTATGAAGCAACATGTTACTGCTTCTGGTGTTCAGGGCCTTTGGGGAGAGAGGATGAAAAGGTAGCTCAGAAATATGAGAAGTGGATAAGGCATTAATTTGGGGCATCTTGAAGAGCTGAGTGTCTTTCTGGCTTTGCTGGATTGATTATGTGCATTAGGTGGTCTGTGCTTTTGGAAAATAAAGATTCTTTTTTGAACTACGTGATGAGTGTCCAATGCGGTTTCTTCCCTAGAAAAGAAAAATTTGCTCTTTTTTTTTCTCCCAGTGATTTAGCAGAATTTTTCTATTTTCTTCAGGTAGTTAAACCAGAGAACAATGATAAAGAAACAGAAGGTACCTATGAATCAGATCTCCCTGAGGAGCTCTGTGGACACCATCTCCCACAGCAGTCCCTGAAAAGCTGTAATGACAGTCCTGATGTCATTATAGAGGCTCAGTTTGATGGCAGCGACTCAGAAGATGGACATGGCATCATACAAAATGTGCTGGTTGATGGTGTTAAGAAACTCTCAGTTTGTGTTTCTGAAAAAGGTGAGTACTGGACTATCGTCTGACTTTTTTTTTTTTTAAGTACGCTGATTAAATATTAGAATTCTCTCTCTGCTACAGAGTAAATAACACAATGCAGTTGATATAGTTCTAAGTTTTGACCTGTGGCAGCTTTTAGAAAAGGGCATCTTTGACAGGTTTAGCTGCTGGTTGTGAAAGAGGGGATGAAAGAACTACCAGCGGTTTGTGTGGGCAGTAGTTGCAGTTACCACATTCCTGATAGGCTTGAGCTGTGTTGCTGGTTAACCTTGATATCTCTTGTGATAGACCCAATCCTCTGGCTGATGTGAACAGAATTAAACTGGTATGTAAAATTCTTGTGAAAAAGTATTTTATTTTACTGTGTTTTACTTTAAATATCTTTTAAAAATATTTTTGTCATTTCTGGTGGGCATGGATCACCCAAAATTTTATAAACAGATAACCTCAGAAAGTATTTTGATTGTAAGCCTTTTAAAAAGCCAGTCTTGTTTTCTCTAATTGAAATCTAAGCCATGGGTCCTCTGGATGCAGGAAAAAAGCAATTGTAAACACATGAGAGCTGTGACCATGGACCCTACCTGACCACATTCTAGGAGACTTAAGGGAAAGTATTAAGTATAATTTGAATATTTCAATATGAGATCTCAAAGAGATTCTATATAGAAGGAGTATATTTTCTAGCCAAATTGAATTTTATGTATACTATTAATGGAAACCAACCAACTCTGACCTGGCCAGGCTGACTAGATAATGAGCTTTGTTATCAAGAAGTTGTTTCTGGCACAGTTCCCACAAAGGGCTAGGAGAAATGCCAGAAGATTACTAAAGGAAGATGTTCAGCAGACAACTTGTTTAGAGACTGGTGAGCATATGTCCCTACAGCGTAAAGAAAGCAGAAGGCATTTTCAGAAAATGACTGCAGAAGGATGACTCTGCTTTTCTCCATTGCTCATGAGGTAGTGATCTGGGAAAGAAAGGATTTTTTGACAGAATGTGTCCTTTTTGGTGTTAATACTCCTCATTCAGAAGGACTTTCCAACTTTGAAATTCTTCTTGACTGAAGAAGCTACTACTTCCTCTGTCAGGTACTGCTTTGGGCCCTCCAGGTATCACCGACTTCAGAGTACCCAAGTTCCTTCTGTTTTGGGACATGCTTAGATAACTAGTGGTTTCTGTTCAGAGCTCAGCCAGTTCCTTTTGGATGCTATTTCTTGACATTTCATTCCTGCGATTTTTCTACTTTCTTTTCAACTAAAAATAGTTGAATACTGTGACCCTCTTCTTAAAGTAAATGTGTATTATCATAATCACATCAGTACTATGAGTCATGTATTTTCAGTGAGAAGAGTAGCAAATAACCAGTACTCTAAGTAGCCAAATCCTTCATTAACAAGATCAGCAAGGAAGAGAGACATTTAGAGGATAAAGACAGGCAAAGGAACACTTTAAAGCATATTGAGTATTTGGCTTAAAACTTCTTCGTGGAAACCCAGCTCTGGTGATAGGCTTGGCAGATCTCAGCAGCCTCTTTTCCTCTGGGCTCCAAGTGAAGTGATAGGAATATTGATCTCTCATTAGTGGTTGGTACAAATACAAGGACAAGGAAATACTGATAGATGGAATTGACGGCAGGATTGATGCCTGGGTTGGATGCTAACAGTTTACTTTGTTAGCATCCAACCCAGAGTTTTGGGAAACTTGATGCTATACCTCCTCTTGATTCACGCTCTATTGTAATTCTCCCTCTACATCCCTTTTGAGACAGGGTCTCACTTTTTCACCCAGGCTGGAGTGTAGTGTGATCATAGCTCACTGCAGCCTTAACCTCCTGGGCCCAGTCAGTCTTCCTGCCTCAGCCTCCTGAGTAGCTGGGACTACAGGTGTGCATCACTATACCCAGATAATTAGTTGTTCTTACTATTTTTTAATAGAGACAAGGTCTCTATTAAAAAATAGAGACCAGGGCTAGTCTTGAACTCACGGCCTCAAGTGATGCTCCTGCTTTGGCCTTCCAAAACACTGGGATTACAGGTGTGAGCCACCATGCCTAGCCCTTCCCTCTTTCTTACAAATAATATCACTGAGTATATTACAAGCCCAGCATATGCATGTTTCTTTCCTTATTGTTTTTGCATCCTTCCTAGCCCACTGTTATTTATATTACTTCGTTAGTAGCCCTGACTGAGGGAACAGCCTTAATCCTTCCCTCAGTATCTGGTACAGATTTCTGTTTCCTGCTAGCCTCTAAATAGAGAGTTTGTGAAACCACATGGCTGTTTCTCATTTCTTGCCCTCTTGATATTTAGGAAAATTACAATTTGCTCTTTTAGAAATCGCAGCATTTTTAAGGATATTTTAACCAGCTTTTCTTACTTGGGATAATACAAAAATCTGGTTACTGTTAGGATGTTAGTACTTTTTGCACCATTTAGGGTTTCGAAATTTGTTATTGAAACAAACCATAACCTTAAGAATATCATGAACTTTTCCGAAGACTTCTAGAAAGGTTCTTTGCTTTGTGTTGTACTTGCAAGTGGATGATTAATCCTAGTTCATGCTTGTGTTCAAAAGTGTTTTTTGTTTGTTTTTGCTTTAGTATTGCATGTGCATTTATAGCATATACCTATTTGCCAAGGAAATAGTTATATCTTTGTGATAACTACCAGTTTCTCTGGTAAGAGAGCAATTGCTTCCATTGTCTGTAGCAAGTGCCTGTCATTGCATTAAGAGAAACATCTCTATAGACACTCATATAGTAGTTTTTTTGAGGATGATGGCACAGGTCTGTATTATCCTCAGCCCCTGAGACAGAGTGAGCCAAAGATGTGGGCCCCTTTTAGAGTTCCAGTCCCCACAGCCCCTTGAGATTGAACTTTTACCACTTTACGAGCAGTAGCTTTGTTGTTAGCATAGAAACTTCGCATTTGTGTGGAGGTTAGGGACAACCAATTAAAATTTTCTTGGTATCAAATGCATAAATGGCTTTAAAATGTTTGGCTGGGTGCACCTGTAATTCTAGCTATTCAAACCAAAAAAGTTTGGATAACAGTTGGCAAGGTTAGCAAACTCCAAAGGGAAGAAATAACCATGGTTAAGTGATATAGTAGTTCTGTTTCATCACCAGGAATTTTAAGAACAGATTTGGCCTCTGAATCTTGGTGATGGTGACCTAATCAGGCTGTGATGTACATTTCCTGCTTTGTATCCCAGGAGGGTCTTCCAGAGATATTTTTTAGTTTTCTGGTCTAGAGACAAGCCTCTGCCTATACCCTGATGAGTGAGCATGGGTTTAAAGTGCAGATGTAATGACTCTTTTAATTCTATCTCCTGGCCAACTTCAGCTGTTTCTGAAGAGGAGAATCTACATGGAGTCCTTAATTCCCTCTGAGAGTTTTCTGTCTGTTACATCTGGGGCCTGCTCAGGTCACCTTTGGGAGCCATGAAGACCCCATTTTTCCCACTTAAGATTGATCTCCTTTCAAGACAGGCCCTTTCAGTGCTGAGGTTTAAATACTCTTTCCTTGAATAAAAAGTAACTGTACTCCCCTTCTGCTGAGAAAAACAGACCCATATGATTATTCCCATGACACTTTGGGGTTACTGAAACTCCAGGAACCCTTTCTCAGGTTTGGCAACCCTTCTTTTTTCTCAGCATACATTTCTTCTTTTCCCTATATATATAGCTCTTCACTGTGTATAATGATGATTAATATAACTAGAAGACCGTGTTTGCTTCAGAAATTGTATTTAAAATTAAATATATAGTAATTTCTCATCAACCACAATTTTGGCGCAGTGTTTTGTGCCAAGCCTTAAAAATCTGATTTAAAAAAACAAAGTGAAGCCTTGTGCAGACCTATGTTAAACAGAAAGATACAGTGGGAATTTTTAAAAAAAATTTTAAATCTTTAATTGTGGGTACTTAGTAGGTATATATATTTATGGGGTACGTGAGATATTTTGATAAGGTCGTGCAATGTGTAATAATCTCATCAGGGTAAATGGGTTATCCCACACCTCAAGCATTTATCCTTTGTGTTTCATACAATCTGATTATGCTCTTTTAGTTATTTTTAAATGTACAATTAAGTTTTTGAAATTACTATAGTCACACTGTTGTGCTAGGAATTAGTAGGTCTTATTCATTCTTTATAACTATTTTATTTGCATTCATTAACCATTGCCACTTCTCCCCACTTACTACCCTTCCCACCCTCTGATAATCATCCCTCTACTATCTATCTCCATAGTTCAATTGTTTCAGTTTCTTTTTTTAAAATTTACTTATTGTACTTTAGACTCTGGGGTACTTGTGCAGATCATGCAAGATTGTTGCATAGGTAAATTCATGGCAGGGTGGTTTGTTGCCACCATCCCCCCATCACCTCTACCTGACATTTCTCCCCACATTATCCCTCCCCCACCCTCCCTTCTGCTATCCCTCCCATAGCTATTGAGATCCCAGTGTGTGATGCTCCCCTCTTTTTGTCCAAGTGTTCTTATTGTTCAACACCTGCCTATGAGGGAGAACATGCAGTGTTTGATTTTCTGTTCTTATGTCAGTTTGCTGAGAATGATGGTTTCCAGGTTCATCCATGTCCCTACAAAGGACACAGACTCATCACTCTGCATAGTATTCCATCGTGTATATGTATCACATTTTCTTTGTCCAGTCTATCACTGATGGGTGTTTGGGTTGTTTCCAGGTCAGTGCCACGATGAACATGCATGTGCATGTGTCTTTACAATGGAACAATTTATAGTCCTTTGGGTATATACCCAGTAATGGGATTGCTGGGTCAAATGGAATTTCTATTTCTAGATCCTTGAGGAATCGCCACACTGTCTTCCACAATGGTTGAACTAATTTACGCTCCCACCAACAGTGTAAACGTGATCCCACTTCTCCACATCCTCTCCAACATCTGTTGTTTCCAGATTTTTTACTGATTGCCATTCTAACAGGTGTGAGATGGTATCTCAATGTGGTTTTGATTTGC